GTCCTGGATATTGTGGCCTATTACAAGTTGATAAAGAACTGCCTGAATTCGGCACCCCCGTCCCCTTGAACATGACACTGTCCAGGTAACCGACTCCCTGTGAGGAGGCCCCTATTTGTCCACAAGGCCCCCTGGAACACTCTGCTACCCCAACACAAAATTCGCGGAGCAGCCATTGGTGAAGAACATTCTGACTGGCACATTCTATGTGTGCCAAAGACCTGGTTTTGGTGTTTAGGGGAAGCGTTTTCTCTTTCTCATGCAAATTTGCATGCTGATTTGGAACGAGATAGACGTGGAATCCCAGCGCACAGTCGCAGAGGCTACGACGCATATCTTACTTGAATTCGTTGCATGTGTAAAGATTGCCCATTTCAGTACTGAAATATGGAGCTTCAATGAAATAAATATAGGGCTCTGCCGAAATGCTTACTGCATGCTTGGAACTCTATAATACAAAACATGTATTTACTTTTTACGTTTTCTGGATGCTGCAGTGCACTTACCAGTGATGTCATTAGAAGTCACTGTTCCGGAGATTCCATCATAGCGCGTTTTTGAAATATGTCCCGAGGGTGGCACTCTCCGCTTTCTTTTTTATTTGAGTTTGCTTCACCTTGTGCGGTTCATAGATTGCTTTGACTTTCTACAGTTAGGGTTGCTTGCATTACAGAATGTGTCATTAGGCCACCAAGGTCAGAGGTCCGAGATCAGCTTATAATTGTCGAACCAAATGACTTGCTTCACTCGTCTGTGACGAATGGTCGGTGCAACACACACATTTCCAAACAAATGGCTTACATCTGAACGTCTCGGGTAGGTGGCCTAACTTTGACGTGACGTGATCTCGGCCAATGGCGCGGCCTGGATTTCACAGAGCAGGGGTTAAGTCGGGTCATGGGGACCTCACAGTCAATGGTGCCCGTTGAAAAACTCCTTTGGCGTTGTAGATTGCTAGAAAGTGCTCAGAATTTTGGTGCCATGAAGGGAGCGGGGAAACATGGTCCCAAAACTCCTCCCCCTTAGCTGATCTAGACCTGAACCTTGACCATACCTAACATCACAGTATGACCCTGAAGCATGCGAGCACGCCCAGTTCTTGTGTTGTCAGTTATAAGGTTGCGAGACCGATATTACGTTTGCTCGATGATTCTGAAATCGGTTGAAGATTTTTGTGATTTTTAAGGTATTTCGCGAGACTTAATCAGTCCAGTGACAGATGCAAACTCAACGTGCTTAAGTGAGATTGGTCGGGGGTCATTGATCGCCCCTTGAGTTTGTTTGATTCGCCGATCGGATCCCGAGACCCATCAGGCGGGGCCCCAGGCGGTCGCGCCTGGCGAAATGCCCTAGGAGTTACCGGGCTGCCAGCCACGTGATGTACTCGTGTCCAGATGGCGCTCAGCTGCGAACATGCTGACGAGCCGGCGCGTTTGTCTTGCACTGTCAGCTTAGGAACTGCGTGGCAGAGCTGAGAGCGGGCTGCAGTCAGCCGTGAGCGGGCTGCAGACAGACGTGAGAGGGCTGCAGTCAGCCGGGAGCGCGCTGCAGTTAGCCGGGCGCGGGCTGTAGTCAGCCGTAAGCGGGCTGCAATCAGACGTGAGCGGGCTGTAGTCAGCCGGGCGCGGGCTGCAGTCAGCCGTGAGCGGGCTGCAGACAGACGTGAGCGGGCTGCAGTCAGCCGGGCGCGGGCTGCAGTCAGCCGTGAGCGGGCTGCAGACAGACGTGAGCGGGCTGCAGCCAGCCTTGAGCGCGCTGCAGTCAGCCGTGAGCGGGCTACAGTCAGCCTTGAGCGCGCTGCAGTCAGCCTTGAGCGGGCTGCAGTCAGCCTTGAGCGGGTTGCAGTCGGCAGTGAGCGGGCTGCAGTCAGCCGGGAACGCGCTGTGGTCAGCCGCGAGCGGGCTGTAGTCAGCCGTGAGCGGGCTGCAATCAGCCATGAGCGCGCAGCAATCAGCAGTGAGCGGGCTGCAGTCAGCCGGGAACGCGCTGTAGTCAGCCGTGAGCGGGCTGTAGTCAGTCGTGAGTGGGCTGCAGTCAGCCGGGAGCGCGCTGCAGTCAGCCTTGAGCGCGCTGCAGTCAGCCGTGTGCGGGCTGCAGTCATCCGTGAGCGCGCTGCAGTCAGCCGTGGGTGGGCTGCAATCAGCCTTGAGCGCGCTGCAGTCAGCCTTGAGCGCGCTGCAGTCAGTCTTGAGCACGCTGCAGTCGGCCGTGAACGGGCTGCAGTCAGCCGTGAGCGGGCTGCAGTCAGCGGTGAGCGCGCTGCAGTCAGCCGTGAGCGGGCTGCAGTCAGCCGTGAGCGGGCTGCAGTCAGCCGTGAGCGCGCTGCAGTCAGCCGTGAGCGCGCTGCAGTCAGCCGGGAGCGGGCTGCAGTCAGCCGGGAGCGGGCTGCAGTCAGCCGGGAGAGCGCTGCAGTCAGCCGAGAGAGCGCTGCAGTCAGCCGGGAGCGCGCTGCAGTCAGCCGGGAGCGCGCTGCAGTCGGCCGTGAGCGGGCTGCAGTCGGCCGGGAGCGGGTTGCAGTCAGCTGTGAGCGGGCTGCAGTCAGCCGGGAGAGCGCTGCGGTCAGCCGTGAGCGGGCTGCAGTCAGCCCGCTCACGGCTGTTCACGGGCCGCCGCTATCTTAGCAGAGTGCCGGCAACCCCTGATCGGGCGCTGACCTGTATCGAAACACACCCGACACGCACCAACGATGAAAACTCCATACATGTGTATCATGCATTTTATTTGTGTGCTAAGAGACGTCAAATAGAGCAAGAGTAACAACCGACTGCATAAAGGTAGATCATCCATACCTGACTTGTCGCCACAGCAAACTAGCTGAGACGTGGGATGGAGCAATGCCTAAATATGCGGCAAAGCAGATAAGCGAGTATCACAGTCCATGCGGACCATTGCACAAAAGCACTGTAATTCTCTACCGAGTTAGCTAGAGGTCAGCAGCTTCCTGTCCATACGTGGCCTTGTGCTGATGGCCGTGTCCGTAGCGTTCGGCACGACTGCAGTCACACACCGCCTGGGGTCCCCCAGTCACAGCACACAGTTCGTGACAGCCCGTAACTTGCGAACACTCATTATGATCCAAAAATTACGCATGCCCGGCAAACGATATGGCAGTTACACAAAAGCGATAATCAACTCAAGTCATCCAACTTCATTTCTATTGGAATAGGTGTGTAGGTTCAATTGGACTTCATCACATGCGTTGTGATGTGTGAAACTTTGCATAATTTGGAGAACAATCACAATACACTCTCAGCAACATGGCTCCCATCGAAGCTTGTGGACTGTCACTGCCGCTGGGTCCTAGCCTTCGCATCGTCATACTCTGTCGGAAACACATCATTAGTCCTGCTTCGAGTGCTGATCCACGGCTTCTGGATACATTGTTATTCATTCTCCAGGCGCAATTCATCATTTCGGCCCGTATGGTCGATTCGAACGGAGGTCTTTAAGCTCCTGTGCTGTCTGAAAACCTCACGTCACGCCTAATCGTGAGGAAATAGTTCCGTGACTTACTAAGCCCATGTAGCGGATGCCGCCGAACAGCTACATAGCTGAAACAGTTCCGGAATAGGCATGCGCATACACGCAACTGCACAGGATGTGTTCCCGCTACAGCGCCGGTTTGGATCATTAAGTCGTCTGTTCCGAACTGGCGGGTTGTAAATAGTCTTCAGTTTCGTTCCAGCACGAAATGAGCACGGCATATAAATCGCCCGAAATGAATACATGTCAGAGGTCAGATACGTCACGAAAAACAAGCAGTAACTTCATCTACGCAAGCTATCAACATTACTGGATCGGGCTGGTGACTACCAGCTTGATTTTCATAACATTGATGCATACCATCGCACGAAAATCGTATGTACAGAAGTGCGGTAATAAGCATACGCAACTGCATTCCATCATAAAAATATATCAAGTATGATTATACCATGCCTTAATCCTTATGCTACCGACATTAATTTACTTAAAGATCGGTAAATGCTTATCGCTTACTGTTTCATATCATATGATTGCCCCTTATTTCGTGTCAGTAAGAGCAATCTTTCCAAGAGGTCCATTACATTTATCTCTCAGATAAATGTTAAGTTACATACCTTCGTTCGTGAACCTGACCGACGTTGCTAAATTTAAACGAAACATGTCACCAATCCACAACTACAAGCTGCTATGCATGCTAATGGTGTCGGATGCGATGTCACGAGCAGTTTTCCGCTCTCAAAGTGTGAAAAGTTTCATGAGAGCTGAAAGCTGTCTCGGCTCAACCAGCACCCGCCTGGAGTCAGCCTCCAACCAGCCAGAGCCCATCGATCCAGGCCGCTCTCGCGTGCCAGCCTATTTGTCTCCAGCCGTCGCGGTGATGCTCGAGGGGAGGATGGCTAGGGCCCAGCCAGACAGGACTCCAAGTACGCGTACGGATGGTGGTGTGCTGGGGCTTCAGGCTGGAGTGTTACGCCACAGAGCAATGCCCCGCTATCGGTGCGCTAAACAGACCGCAAAAGTCAGAAAAACAGAGGCTAGTGAATAAATAGAGGGGGACACTGTGTGATAGACAATGTCTGGCGTATTTTGGCCAGGCGAGGAGTTTCGAAAACACAGTATGCAGCTTGATGGCCTGAAGAAAAGTGTTACTGGAAATCGTAAAAATGCGACAGAGTACAGCAAAAAACTTCGTTTTTAGACGTAATTATCTTGACAACTGTTTACATAAGAAAACAGAAAAGTGCAAGCCAGGTAGGTATGATGAAAAAGGGGCATTCAGCGATACCACACGAACAGGGCTTAAAGGCCTTCGTCTCTCTCAAAAACTTAGTCCGGAAAAGCTGAATCAGAGCGGCGACACTGAAGCCGTCGGCAGCGTGTCCGGGCGGGCGAAAAATCATCTCATCGCAGCGTCTGATGCCGACAGTCGCCGCCTAGGACCTGGCACATGGGCCCGCGCCCCGCCCTCACGCCGTTGTGACCGAGCCGCACCGCGCCGACCAGCCTTCGCCAGCGGTGCGCTCGAACCCGCCGGCCGTCGCGGCCTGGCAGGGTCGGTCTAAGCCGGCACGGAGCCACGGCTGGGCAGGGTCGGTCTAAGCCGGCACGGAGCCACGGCTGGGTAGGGTCGGTCTAGGCCGGCTGCTAAGCCGTAGCCAGGCAGGGTCGGTCTAGGCCGGCTGTTAAGCCGTAGCCAGGCAGGGTCGGTCTAGGCCGGCTATTAAGCCGTAGCCAGGCGGGGTCGGTCTAGGCCAGTTGCTGAGCCATAGCCGGGCCGGTGCGGTCTAAGCCGGCTGCGGAGAAGCGTCGCGCCGGCCGGCCGCCTGTCTGGAGGGGCTGCGGCCGCTGCGGGCGGCCTTCTGACGGCCGAGCAGCAGGTACCAGTCGACCGCGTCCAGGCCGTAGTGGGAGCGTGCCTGTGTGACGGTCACCCGCTTCTGGCTCAGCTCCTGACGCAGAGTCTTGACGTCGATCTCGGCCTGCTTCCGCAGCTGACGGCGGGGCAGACGAGCTGGGTTAGGCATCAGTGAAACAGGGCGGGTCAGGCACTGGGCAGATGAGCGGATCAGGCATCAATGAGACAGGGCGGGTCAGGCATTGAGCAGGTGGGGCGGGTCAGACATCGGTTCATCCGTCACATGAACAGGTTAGACACCAGTCAGAAATGGTAGGACCAGGCAACAGTCATGAAAATGTAGGAATGCGTAATTTATCGCGACTTTCAAAGCATCTTTTTATTTCGCATAGCGGTGAGGTGCGTTAAACACCAGCGGTTGTCAAAGATCAAACACCAGTTACAGGGTACCGGTCCCGTCATCCAAACAATCGGATAGGCCAGGTCGCACACTCGTCCAACGGGACTGATCTGGCGTACGACAGGGATGCACCAGGCCGTACACCACCCGGGTGAAGCAAGGGTGTTATGACAGGTCCCATATGACTGCAATAAATCACGCTGAAATCCGTTGGAAGGGGAATTTGAATCACGCTGCAATTAACCAACGGCAGCGGTGAAGCGGGATGGGCTGCAAGTGAAACTAACTGAAGTTCTACAATGCTTTATTTGTCCTCATTGGGCGCGGGGCGGGGTTCGTCAGCCGATCCGAACAATCTTTCCACACCACGGAAATGGCAAATCGCAGGGTCGTTGCATGGGACATGGTTGATGCCAAATTCATTGTGCGTGTTATAAAAACAAATAAAAGTGGATAGTTCTCATCAGATACATGAGCCGTAGTCGTCTTTAGTCGCGCTCCTATTTTACCTCAGAAGTCCTGTTTTGTTGATGAAAAACGCTCTTTTTGATTTCGTTTTTCAAAAACTTTCTAGTGATGATGCCTGGAAGACATCAGTATGCCGTGAAGAGGGCATCCAGACATTGCTGATATCATTTGGTAATCAAGACAGCCGCTGCTTTGTTTCTTGTTTCATTGCTCTCTCTCAGTTAGAAGTTAACAGCGAGCAGTGTGTCTATCGCCTCCGCTGTAGGAAGCGTGAGCGAAACTTCCCGGCCGACACAGATTTACTGCAGGGGAACGCTGTTTGACATCTCCCATTCCCAGATGCAGCACCGGAACGGAACACGAAGACCATTACCGTTGGAGTAGTCGAGGAGGAGAGCCGTTGGACCTACAAGCCGGCGCGTCGCCTTCGGGTCCGGCAGGCAGCCGGACCGATTTCCGTGCTCTCGCTCACCTTGATCTCCGTGTCCAGGATCATCTGTGTCGAGCGTACTCGGCGCCGCCAGTCCTCGATGTCCGAGTCCAGCTGCTTCAGATTCAGCTTCATCGTTAGCTGCCGGCCGCCAACGTCAGGTCAGGTTAGACAGCGTCCGCGCCCCGGCGGACCGCGGCGTCAACGCATGACCAGCTTGTCTGGAGCCGGGCGGAACGCGGCGCAAACAGCTGACCAGCTGATCTGAAATGGGAAGGACCGCGGCTCCGACAACCGACCAGTTGCTCTGGAACCGGGCAGACCACGGCACAAACAGCTGACCGGCTGCTCTGAAGCCTGGCGGACAGCGGCACAAGCAGCTGACCAGCTGCTCTGGAACCGGGCAGACCACGGCACAAACAGCTGACCAGCTGCTCTGAAACGGGAAGGGCCGCGGCGCCGTCAGCCGACCAGCTGCTCTGCAATTGGCAGAGCTGAGCTTCGATACGAATTCCTGCCGGGGCTATTGGTACTTAAAGTACGATTTTGGGAATCGTTTGCTTATTTGCGCCGCTGCTTGTCGCTGTTACAAGTCTCCAGTAAAAAAAGATCCGAAAGAAAATAGCATCAACACGCGCTCAGGCAGGGGAGTGGAGCGCGCGCTGGAGTGAGAGTGTATGTTTTTGGTGTGGTATAAAACTGAAAGGTGTGCTTCGTTCGTGTTATAATCTTATAGCAAGATACATCTAGTCGGCGTGATGTCCTAAATAAGACTAAGGTATTTATATTGCCATTATGTACGGTCATTAACAATGACGGTATATAATGATCATAAATTAGTGAATAGCAAATGATCATAGTTATCTAGCAAAAATGGATTTGATTGCACCGAACAACTCAAAACGTCACCTCGCCATGAGTCAGCACCGTCAGCGTCGGCACTAGGCCGTTAGGTAAGGCAACTGCTTCACCACATGTTCTCGTCAGATTGCTGCGCGCTACGACAGTCGGTGACCAAGAAAAATGCCGACACTTCGACTCCTAAAGTAAAGCGTTGTAACTTGCCTTTCGTGATGGACCTTCTTTGCTCGTGCCCTTGTGTCTGGTTTCCACTCTCTGTAGCAGCTTCTTATGCATTTTGTCGATTTCCCGACGCAAAGATGAGCAAGCTTCCTCCAAGGGGCCTGTGAGCTTGCGTTCTTGTAGGTAAAGGTCTCTCCATTTTTGCATATCCTGCGTGTCGAAACGGTCATAGTGAAAGCAAAATGTTATATCTTGGTCACCGTCACCAGAGGTGGCATTGTCAAAAACAATCAGGCGCATGGAGATGTTATGTCGAATATTGTAAGCAGCTGCAGCGCCAGGGCAACGCTCACATGACTGGGGAAACGGCACAGAGCCTCCTCAGGTTATTAAAGTCCCACTCGTGTTGGCCACGGCATTTCATTCATATTTACGAGGCATACGGGGATTTATAAATATCAGAATAAACATCGCCTAAGCGAATAACCCGTGACGTAGCTCGCTCATTTTGCGCTATTTCTGCCAGTCCCTGGAATACGCCGCCAATCATGCAGCAATGTGCTGGGTGCCATTTACGGACATTTACGGAAGGCCATTTACGGACAGGCCTTGCGACGACACACAGGCTGATCTTGTGTATTGCCGTGGCTGGCATTGCTCTCACCTTGCATTCATCTCTGATGTCTCTCTTACAAATTGGAGCAGGCTACATTCGAGCCTACTGCGGCTGCTGACACCTAGCCATCGTTTGGACCCACTCGCCTCATCGCGTCTGATGCTCAGCTGCTCCTGTAAGCTTCTGGAGAGCGCCACCAGCTCGTCTCGTTTCCTCTCGCTCTCTGCTCGCCGCTTCTTGACTGCTGCCAATTTCTTGCGCAGATTGAAGACTGGAACGAGGCCCGTGCTCCTTCAGTGCCCGGACGGAGTCGCTCCATTGCCTTGATCAAGAGACCGCGCTGGCAGGATTGTGTGGCGGGGGCGGGGCGGGGAACGGGGGCGGGGGAGGGAGGGGGGGGGCGGAGCGGCAGATGATGACTGGTTCTCTGAACAGTTTGGCAACTGCACGCCAACGCAATGCAAACTCATGCAAATAAATGCAGCTGGGAGGCGTGGAATGAACATGAAAATTTAGGAATGCATAATTTATCGTAGCCTATCGAGCATCTCTTTATTTGGCATGCCATCTGGCCGACTGGCCGAGGGGAGGGGAGGCAGCTTATCATCAGCGAAGCCATGTCTTCTGGAGCTCTGCTGGCGTGCGTATCCTCTCGGGAACGAGTGGGCTCACACTCGTGATCCTCATATCGCCGTCTACCTTAGGGCATCTCAGATCATGAGACCGTTTATATCAACGCATCTCTCTCCATTCTCCTGGTTTGTTGTTTTTTTTCCAAGGAGCAAAGCTATTACTACTGTCCTATCTATATGCATAATGTTCCTGGCAAATGCACCTCACAAGTGACGTAATTTGCCAGTCATCACAACTCAGCATGCACTAGGCGTACAACACTGGTAGTGCGCAGCAAAAGCGATGCAATGAATCGAGCCTCGTCGTCGTGCTGCAGGGCCTGGCGCGTCTTTGCGGTGCCCCGACAGTGCCTTACAGAGCTGGATAGCGGATCAGCTCGCTTACAAGATGCACGACGCCAGCTATGCTCCATTACCTCTCCATTCTAGCCGCCGTACACACCGCAGATGCACTTTCTGATCCATTCGTCGCCGTCGAGGCGAATTTGGGTTAGCGCAGTCAGTGTCGTGGAATGTGGGGATGGGAATTTGTGTGATTTTCGGCCTCTCCGAGAACAATTGTGCCTCAAAAATCGCGTCCACAAGATCCGTTGCCAAAATCGGTTGCACGCACGCACACACATACACCCCACACCGCGTGGTGCAAAAGCGTCTTGCTGGGATATCGTCTTACCACCCGATTCCGAACTTCGGCTCCGCCTCAAAAAAAAAAAAAATGAACAAGGCAGCCATTTCTCACAATGTTACAGCCATTGGGATAGCACCCACTCTCCTCAAGACACGATGCTGTGCAGTGTCAGGTCACCTCTAAAAAGTGACGGCGACAAAAAGCACAATGGCACGACGGGTTTCCACGGTGATGCCTTGTGCAAACAGAATTACACGCCATGCAGCCTCACGTTCGTTCTCAGAGTGCCGCTTCTGTGCGGTTGACTCATCAGACTTCCCCTTTTCGGCGCCAGATTTGCCTTTTTCATCTTTTTTCTGCGTGTTTGATTTGCTTTTGTGTTCTCGTTCACGGGAAGCATCCCTGCCATCTTTTCTTTTCCCTTTGGATTTATCATTCCGCTTGGACTGTTTGCCTTTGTCGTCTTTGGGCCGTCCCGTTGTCGAATCCTCATCGGGGCCTGTAGACGCGTTGTTGTCCCTGGACGCCTTGGACCCATGCTTCATTTTGGCGGCATCTTCAGACGCCTTCTGGGTTACCCCTCCGGCCGCTTCTTTCAAACTGTCCTTCCCCCCATTTTTGAGTTCGGCTCCCTCCGCATCCTCTTTGGAGGTGACCTTGGCCGTGCCCTCTGCGAGTTCGCCAGAGACCTGTTTGGACGATCCCTCCCCTTGGTCACTTTTCTCCGACTGACGCCGAGAGCCGTGACCACCGTCGTCAAATTCGCCGCGCGTCGCCAGCGTGCTGCCCGGTCGCATGTTATCCTTAGTCCGGTATTCGTCGTCTGAGTGGGTGACAAACTGCGACTGATAGCTGGTGTCCTTCTCGAACACGTCTCGGTCGTAGATCTCGGCGTCCGCCTGCACCAGCTTGTCGGGTCGTCCGCCCTCCTTCTTCTTGAACATGTCGCGGTACTCGGTCCTGTACGGGTCGTCGTCGGGTTCGCTGTTGCCGAGCAGGAATCCCATCTGATCCTGCTGGACGTACAGCGACTTCCGGCGCCGCGGGATGTAGCGCTCGCCGCTCGCCGCCGCCCGCGGGGTTAACGGCGCCGCCGGCGAGCCCAGGGCGGGGCCGTCGGCCGCGCCGCCGGCGCCCGCACCCTCCACCCGAGCCGCCGAGTCACGCAGCACCAGCGGCGGCGGGCCCGGGTTACCGGCCGTGCTCTCCACGTCCGCCGGGTGCTCGATCACCATCACATCCGTGATGACGTCGGCGGTGGCCGGCGGCCGGCGGTCCCGCCAGCTGGCCGTGCGTCGCCGGCCGCGCCGCTCCGGCAGCGGTATGCGTGATGGCGCCTTGCGGATGAGCTCCAGCCCGCTGGAGCGGCGCCGGCGGCGCGGGTGGTCCGTCGCTGGCCGCTGGGGACGCTCCATCTTCGCGTACTCCTGGATGACGCGAGTCGCTGGCGGGCGCGGCGTGGCGGCGGGACGGGTCTCGATCGATTCGGCCCGGTAACACCCCTCGCCGCGCTCGCTCGCCGCCGGCGACGGACCGAAATCAACAAGCCGGCCATTGTCGATGAAGAGCACGCCCGAGCTGTCACTGACGTTGGCCGGCGGCGGTGGTGGCGGCGGCGGCGGTGGTGGCTGGCGCGCCGCGCTGCGCCGCTCGCGCCTCTCGCGCCGCGCCTCGGCCGCCGCGCCCGGACTCCACTCGTCCGAGGAGGCGGCCGGCTCGGCGTGCGGCGAGCGGGAGCGTCGCTGCCGCCGGCTGCGCGTCGCCCGACGCTGCACCCTGCTGACGTAGTCGTCATGGCTGTCGTAGTCGCCCTGGTCGCTGTGGTACAGCGGCTCGGGCGAGGCGCGCTCGTCGGGCGCGCCGCGCCAGCTCGGCATCGAGCCGGAGCGGCGCAGGGGGGCGCCGTCGTCGTCACTGTGATACGAGGCCGGGTCGATCACCAGCAGACGGCCGGCCTCGTCTAAAACGAATCGGGACGCGGGCAGGCGGTGGTATTGTTTTCTCACGTGCTGCTCGTCTGGCCAGAGACGCGCCGCGTCCCACTCGGTCGCAGCTGAAACACAGGTTCCGGGTGAAGGCCCGGCACGGCTGCGCATACGTATGCATTGGCTGAAGCAGGCGGAGCATGGCTGTCAGATGCATCGCACTACTGTCTCTGTTTATTGACTAGGGTATTGGCCATGCATTTTAGAGGGCACATATGGTGTGCTTCGACTGCAGACTGCGTCAGCGCAGCGGAGTATTATGGCTGATGCATCCAGATTAAATGTCTCCATGACACTTTAGGAAGCCGAACGAAATGCGTTGTAAGCGCATGTTTATCTACAAGAGTCTGCACATTCGTCTCGGCTTATTCCAACGACATTGATATTCAGAATCAAATTGGCTTGCAGGTCAATAGGCGTTAAAAAAATGATTTCATCACGCATCCACCTTTGGTAAATTTGAGTTAGTCTGTTTTCCAAGAATTCAGAAGTATTCTGAGCCACATTACCCGAATTGAAAAGGTGGGTGCATATTTCAGCATTTAGTCCTTTGATGGCTCGTCCATATGTATCAATTCCTATGATGCATTGGGCGTAAACAGAAGACGAATGCGCAGGCTTAAGGGCTAACTTTTTAAACGGGCATGCTCATGTCATATGAGTAGCATTATTGAATAGGATAGCAATTCAATAACGAGCATTGGTAATGGAGGCGAGCTTGGAAAGGCAGCCGGTGGTTGCAGTTGACACCAGTTTGTCAACAACATGGCACATTATGGCTGGACCGGTTGGTCCTGTGGAGCAGCGGGAACTAATGACCCCTGCTGACTACCCTCGCCATCCAGTGTCACCGGCTCCGTCACCGTCACCAGCTTCACCAGGTTGAGCTGCAGCCTGACTTAAGCTGTACTTACAGGAGCATCGTCAGACCTTGCTGGATCCTCGGTTGGACTGTCAGGTTCTTGCTCGGCCTACATGTGGCTCTTCTGTGCCGACAGGTGCCCGGTGTGAACCCGGCTGGAGTCACGGCACGCAGTCTGACCCCAGCCGGACTCACAGGGCGCAGCCCGACCCCGGCCGGACTCACAACACGAAGTCTGACCACAGACGGACTTACAATGCGCAGTCTGGCCCAAGCCGAACTCATAGCTTGCAGTTTGACCCCAGCCGGACTAACAACGTGCAGTCTGACCCCAGACGGACCGACGGCGTGCAGTCTGATCCCGGCCGGACTCACAGGTGTTGCGGACCAGCGGGTAGTAGCGATCGAGCCGGTAGTGTCGGTCCCAGCCGCGCCAGTAGGCGGCGTCCTCCAGCTCGTCCAGCGGGTCGTGGGGCAGCAAGCGCAGCAGATGGATCTCCGGGTCGGACGTGTACGGCGGCATGAAGTTCCGCGCCTTCAGGTGGCCCTCCTGTTTCGCCTTCACCTGCGGAGGTGGCATGCTGGCGGTCGGCCACGGAGTAGGCGGACACACCCAGGCAAAATTCGGTCCTGCGAAACGCGTTGCGGTTTTGTAGGGTGGTTAATGCTCAGCCAAGCTGCTGCAGCATGCGTTTGTACCTCTTTGGTTGAATGGCTTTTGTAATGAATCTTCCGTGTCGGCGGTGTCTAGTTCCAGAGTCGTGCCATCGAGTGGTATAATCAGGTGTTGGTGCACTCAATACTGGTTGTTATGGCATATATGTCATATGAAAAATTGGAAATGTGTCGTTATTAATTTGTCATAATTTACTACTTTGTTTTTATGGCATGTGTGACATATTGATTTCAAACTCCTCTACGTAGTACATAGAGTACCAAGCATCTGCTCGCTTTAAAAAAAATCAGCAACAAAAGATGAATAAGTGAAGAAGATCAAAGAGCGATCACTCCCGCATTCAAGATTTCCGTCTTAGGAGGCCCGACTTGGATGACCTCACCCGTCAAATACGTGCCTGTCGCTAAGTGATGTATTGATCGCGTTGAAAAGTTCCTGATTCTGACGTGAACATACGTCCGTAGTAGTACTGTGTGGGGCTGACGGGCCGTGCCAACGAGTGTGTGTGAGGTAACCCACGAGGTAACCCATCCATGGTTAGGGGCGTACGTAAATAGCAATCCAGGGGCGCATGCCCCCCTTAGCAAAGTGATGACATGGATTGATATACGCGTGGCTACACTTGGACAGCTAAAGATTACAGGTAGGCACGTTAAGTTATGAAAATTGAGAACACGCGGTGTTGTTTTACGACATGCAGGGAACTGCGCGCCTGCGGTGTGCTAAACTCGGCTTCTGTGCAACCTTATTAGTTGTGTTCCCTCCCCCCCCCCCCCCCAACACCACCGTAATATTCTGAGTACGCCACTGCCCGTGGTCATTCATTTACCATAGATACACCAAGCTGTCACAACTTCCACTACATAACCTCAACCATAGCCTCCACGCAAACATGAGCTTCGCAGCATAATGTTTACGTTCGCTGAAGAATAGGTGTGATAGTGTCAACCCTTTTTGTCTCTCTGCATTGCCACTCACTTTTGCCCGTCTCCCCTGGGTCCCAGCCTTTCTTCTTCGCCGGAGGCGGCGCGTCTCTGCGGACAGCGCTGACACCGAGCGCATGATTGAGAGGCCCGGTTTCCATTGGCTCCGTTGTCTCTATCCGTCTCGAGCTCTCTCTCCCGCGCTTTCTCGCGCTTACTCTCCTTTCCGCAAATACGTCTGCGTTGCCTAGGCACACTTGTATGCATCCGGTTTTTCAACTTCTTTTTGAACACTACTCACGCATCATAGCATTTCCCAATATCCCGCTCCATGATAACGCGGTGTACCTAAGTTTCGTTTTAAAGCCATGTTTAAAACGGGCCTGAGGCGTGAATCCACGGTCGTAAAAGTAAGCTTTTCCTCGTAACCGTGCGTCGTCGTCGGCAATACTCGGAATGTGACGACGCAACTGGCAGACTAATTCGGCGTGGCAGCAGGGCGCTCATAATTGACAAATTGCGCCCCCCCCCCTCCCCCCTCCCCACGACCGGGAAATTCGTCTGTCTGTGCCATACGTCTTCTGAGTGGCGGCGATAGCGCTCATTTCCCGCGGGACACCCGGCTAGCCGTGTACATAGCGTACCGCACGGCGCAGCGCCCGGACCAATCGGCAGCATCGCGGCACTGGGCGACGGGCGTTCCCCGCGCGTCTCGGCTCGGATCGGCCCGGCGGCGCGAGCTCCCAGTCCGGCTCGGTCCGGCCCGGTCCGGCCCCGGTCCGGACGCGGCTCGGCCGACGTCGGCCGGTCAGGCGCTACAGCACGCCAGATCGCGGCGGTGGGCGATAACCGCCACAGTTGCAACTACAGGCCAACCAGTAGGTGACCTGGCGATTTTGAACGAAAAAGTGTTGAGTCTAGATGATTAAACTCTCAGGTTTATGAGATTTGAAAATATGACACTACAGCAACATTTTAAAGGTGGATACCTCAACTGAGGAGATCTAGGCACAACATGAATGTACTACGTCTACTGCACATGTACTACTTGAAGCAGCATGGTGCATTGAAAATAATGCGGTATAGACGACAGACCAGCATTTCCGGATACACGCCTCTTTATGGTACACTTCGTTCCAAACTTACAACAGACTGCTCCATTGAAATGTCATGAATAGGGATTCATGGCGGTGGACACGTGACAGTAAACTGACTGAGCAGAGTTAAATAAAACAAATGCAATAAACCAGTATAAAGCGTTCGAGAACGGCATGCGATCTCATGTTGTTTGCTTTGAGGACAATGTTTTCAGGGAAAACGGCCCCACTTATAGTCCGGAGATCAACTCATTACGACCAAAGAAGCAGCTCGTGCTGATGCTGGCGCTGGAGAACCCGGGGAAGACCGACGCGCCGTCGGAAACTCGACTCAGATGGCTGCGGCGGTCGTCAGCCGCCAACACGTCGTGAGCATCGCTGCCTCGGGGCAAACTCGGTCCGCTCCCCTGTCCGGCCCAGCGTGACGGCCGACAGCGCGCCGCTCTCACCGGAGCCGGCGGCGCTGTCGGCACCCGCCCGGCGCGGCTGGCGACGACGCCGGACAGGCGGCGGCGGGCGGCGGGCGGCGCATCTGCTCCGCATACGCCGCGCCGTCAGCCCGGCCGCGGCCCCGACAGCAACTTGGCGACACAATGCCGGCCGTTTCATAATGCGAGCTCAAGGTGAGCTTATGGTCTGCGTCGCAGCATCATTTTTCACAGTGGATATGGCCGGGCCTCAGCCATCGGTCCGTAACGCCGCATGGTGGGGTTGTTTCCGCCCTCGCGCGGGATCAAAGGAGCGCAGAAAAGCGCGTGTCTGGGTTTGGGAGGCGCGCGTTTGATTCTTCTGAGGGGATGAGTGCTTGCCTGGTTGTGAAGGGCGTGTTTGAGAGACTCTCGTTTCATTCTTCTCAGAGAGATGGGTGCGTCCTAGGGTATAAGAGACCTCCGCTTAGGACTGTCTGGAAGCAGTTTAATCAGCTGGGGGCAAGAACCGATTGTCTGCGGCTACTGTCTGCGGCGGTAGGCGACTCCCCGCGGCAGGAGTCGGCTGTCCGCGGCAGGAGTTGACTGTCCGTGGCAGGAGTCGACTGTCGGCGGCGGGAGTCGACTGTTGGCGGCAGGAGTCGACTGTCGCCGGCGGGAGTTGACTGTCCGTGGCAGGAGTCGACTGACGGCGGCGGGAGTCGACTGTTGGCGGCAGGAGTCGAATGTCGGCGGCGGGAGTCGACTGTTGGCGGCGGGAGTCGACTGTCGCCGGCGGGAGTTGACTGTCCGTGGCAGGAGTCGACTGTCGGCGGCGGGAGTCGACTGTCGGCGGCGGGAGTCGGCTGTCCGCGGCGGGAGTTGACTGTCCGCGGCAGGAGTCGGCTGTCCGCGGCAGGAGTCGGCTGTCCGCGACCAGGCTGTCCTGCCGGCCGGCGCTGCCTGGTGAGAACCCGGCGCCGCCTCCGACGCCGGGGCTCACTTCGGCACCGTTCGGGGAAAATCTCCCAACTGAAATCCGTCGGCTCGGTATTGATTCGGCTGGGATCAGAGGCGGCCCGGCCGTCGCCACGGCCACCACGCTCCGCCCGGCAGTGATTGTCCGGGCAAACGGCTCCGTCCGCCACAGCCAATTGTGCGGTAATGACCTTGCCGCGCTTCGCACAGGCTTACACGTGAGTCGGATGAGCCATGAACGCAATGGTGTGTAAGCGAGGCTGGAGAATAGTCGGGTTCTTTCAGGGTTACTTGAATGTGGCCAAGGGAAGTATTTATTATTTTACAAGTCCTATGCTGACAATAATTAACCACCAGAGCACGAGGAAGTGCTACTAAAACGATACCATCAAGCAAACAATGATAAAACTGCCAAGACCTAATGGTTGCCACTTCGCTGAGTTTTGCCGTTGGCTAACGTTGGTCGTTTGGCCGTTGACCGTTGATTAAGTTTAACCGTCGGCCAACGTTGGTCGAGTTCGGCTGTTGACCGTTGGTTGAGTTGGGCCGTTGGCCAACGTTGGCCTTTCGGCTATTGACCATTGGTTGAGTTTGGCCGTTAACCGTTGGTTGATTTTATCCGTTGGCCAACGTTGATCGTTTGAACGCTGACCGTTGGTCGAGTTTGGCCTTTGAGTTTGATCGACCAGGCCGCTGAATTCTAGCACTATGACTAATGCTTGCTTGACGGCGTCCTTCACCCAGTGCATCTTGGCGTAATGAAGGTCAATTATTGTAAGCACAGAAAGCATAACAACTTTGAGCTCACAATGCTGGAAGAAACCTAGCAGCTCGAAGCCTGTCTTGCTTAGATCAAGTCTTTTGCGGACAGATGCTGCGGAAAAAAACTTTTGCATTCTTTTGAGCGTCATCTGAACGTGCGGAGGTTGGCTGAAATCCACAAAGTTCCGCGGTTATGAGGCTACCAAGAACGGTAACCCAAATAATGCGTACGAAGAACACTGGTCGATGTGTTAAAAAAACAGCCTTCATGGCCCCGACAGAAGCACGCCTGCAGCAGCCGACCGCCGCGTACCAAGGAGAGCCCACGCTGGTCGTCAGGAGCTCGGCACACCCCGGAGCCCTCGCAGATCTCTCAGCGGCGATATGAAATACAGGGCGGAGCGGGGTGGCATGCAGGGCGGGGTGGGGGCGGGGGGGGGGGCGTGCACAGCGGAGCGGGCGGCGTGCAGGGCGAAGTGGAGCGGAGTGCGTGTTGGAACGAGGGTCATGCAGGGCGGAGCGGGATAGCGAGCAGGACGGAGTGGGGGGGGGGGGGGGGGTGCAAGGCAGGAGCGGGGGGTGCAAGGCGGGTGCGGGGGGTGCGGGCGGAACGAGGGTGCAGAGTAGAGCGGGGTTGTAGAAAGATGCTGGGGTGGAAAAGTGCAGGGCGGAGCGGGGAGTGCAGGAAGATGCTGGGGCGGGGGACTACAGGGCGGAGCGGG